GGGAAAGGGGGGAAGGGGGGGGGAGGGAGGGGGGAGGGGGGGAGAGAAGGGGGGAGGAAGGAAAGGAGGGAGGGAAGGGGAGGGGGGGAAGAGGGAGGAGGGGAGAGGGGAGTCGGGAGGGAGGAAGGGAAGGGGAGGGGAGGGGAAGAAAGGGGGGGGAGGAGGGGGAGGAAGGAGGAGGAGGGGAAAATGGAGAGAAGGAAGAAGCCGCGGTAGGGTAGGAGGTAAGTGGGGGGGAGATTTACACTTTTATGTCTAGCCATTGTCGTTTCGATTTTTAGCAATTCCCAAATGTGGGTGAAGTAGCTATTACTGTTTTGCTTCTTGGGACACTGCAGGAACCTTTGTTCTGCGCCGAGGGTTTGCACTTTTGTGCCTTTCAATTATGCAGTGAAATTCCACAGTACGGTTACTTGTGTTCGTGAGTGTGTCTGTCACAGTCTGTACACGTTTCTGCTACCACGCGCAGAAATTGGCCAAGAGCGATAGTAACGGGGTCAGTGCTACACTGGGAGTGAGAGGAGGAGAGTGTCATCATAACGGAGTGGGAGATCTATAACTGCAGTCTATGCGAGGATGCTGGTGTTGTGTGTTCTGATGTAGTGATGCTCAATTGCTGCAAGTATGGTGCAAATATAAGGTTCCCCTGTTATTAATATACCTCATTGACAAACTTACTCCTTGCTGTCAATTTCATAACTGCTGTGCCAGTGTGTGCGAATGGCAAGTCCGTCGGGTTGATGGGTTTGACACTGAGCGGGACGGTGGAAGTTTAGCTTCAATACCACAGTGGGGTGGAAGAACAGTCTGTGATGACGATTGGGACAGTGATGATGACGCTAGAGTGTCTGCAGACAGCTTGGACTCCCAACTGAATGTAAGCAGCATACGTAACGAAGGAAAGAGGTGGGTGCAGAGTAGTTATGAGTAGATGGGTGATGTATTTGGTGTGTGCATGCACAGATGCAGTGGTGTATTCCAAATGTCAAGATATGGGGAGGGAGAATGGCCAATACTACTACTGGATGACGTGGAATGCTTTGGATTCGAACCATCGTTAGCAGCGTGTGAGCATATGGAGTGGGGAACAATAACTGTGGCCATTTGGACGATGCTAGTGTTAGAGTTGTTCACACTGGTATGCTGCCTTCTCTGTTGTATGTCTGCTGTGCACTGACTTTTCATATCTTACCTAACAGAACGGCCATGTTTTGTGGGAGAGGATGAATTCCCGTGTCGGGTGATGATTTCGGCTTTCCTAGTGTCTACCATTCATGTCTTGTGTGATCAATTGTAGACTGCATTGATGGATTTGATGAACAAAACTGCAGCACAAGTATGGAAATCCATGTGTTATGTGTGTCTGTGTGGAGATTGAGCAAAGCAAGGCAAACACGCACAACAAACTTATTTTTCTCCGTTGAACTCACAAGTCCATGTGATACTCTGTGAAGAGGGAGAGACAGAGAGCATAAGGTATATCTGACTGTCACCAAAGTCGCGCGAGCTTGATACACAGGGTATTTTCTATGAAGGTCACACTCCATTTGGATCACAAAAAGTGAGCTATGCAATATCTTAGAGCTTTGTTGACGTATGTAGCGTGTAAGCGCTGTGCACGGAGCATTGCACATTGAGTGCTGGCATGGATAGCTGCTCAGTATCAGTCTAATAGAGTCTTATGACATGAGTCTGTTAGCTCATACCTGGCAAGCTAGTTGGTAACCTGTCTCCCTCTCCCGTAGTGAAACAGATTATACTTTCTACAACGAAACGATTGTCTCAACGGGAGCTACTCTGAGGGAGACTCAGAGTGTGTTGTGGTGACTGTCATTGCTCATACTGATGGTATAGTGGAGGGAATTGAATGATCCTGTTAGTGTAGGACAGTTGGTTAACCATGTATATGTCTTCGTCATTGATTACGACTGTAAGTTACTAAGCAACAATGGATGCAGTGATGGGCATACTTGTGATCATGTAGACCTGAGGTTGGATTGTGGACCATCATACTCTGTGTTAGTCATCAGGTGTGGTGGAGATAGCAGGACGGCATTCAAGATAGTAGTGAAACGTTCCCAGCATTGGAATACAGTTTGGTCTGAGGATTACAAGTGGAGACGGAACAGCTCTTGGTAAGAAATCGTATCTGATTCAGACGGGAAACGGCTACCCCCATTTTCCCCCAGACTGGTGAAGACTATCAAGATGTTCTGTCAACAGTTTACTTCCGTCCCAATCACACTCCATCGGCTGTAATACGAGTCAGTATCACTGACGACAGCTTGAGTGAAGGAGAAGAACGATTCACAGTGCAACTGAGAGCTACGATTTGTTATTGTTTTGCCAATACTGTGACCGAATTGTGATCGAAGATGATGACGTATGTACTAGCTCTGGTGTTTTCATTGCTCTGCTATGCATACAAAGTTCCGTTTAGATTGAGATGCCCAGACTTGGAAACCCAGCCGACGGCTCTGTGGTGTATGACGGCCTAGTTGTTGGCTCACAAGCGACATACTCTTGCGATGACGGATATAGACTGGTTGGTGGCAGTACCAGAACCTGTGAGAGTGACGGGACATGGAGTGGAGAGTCGCCTCGTCGTAGCCAGAGTGGTAAATAGGAAACTGCTTGCTGTGGTGGTGTGTACTGTGGAACTCGTTGGTGAGATAGAAGTGGAGAGAATTATGCTCCTCTTCATATCAGTGGTGTTGGCTCTGACATTCTGGCTATGTCTGCACTGGACGGAGTAACCTTGCCAGACTGTATGTCCCCATACACGCATGTTTTCCAAGCCTTGTTGAATATTATTATATACATTGTCTGTCATGCCAGGTTCTGGTACCCTGACGGGTTTTAGTCCAGGACAGCACCGGCTGAGGATTGTCCCAGTAGGATGCAGTGTCAACAGTGGTGTGACCTTCCATTTCGAAGTTAGATGATAGGGTCATCAAATTTATTAACTCCTATAGAGAACAATGACATGACTGTAGCTCTGCTATATATTAGGTTGTATTTACGTATCTTTAATGGTTAAGTGCTCATCCGAAACCTAAATGAATACCATAATAACGTTGTGCTTTAAAATGGCGATTTTCTAAAGTTATGGCGTGAAAAGCATGCAGCCAATATGCTAATTTACCCTCGGCGCGCATGCGCAGCGAGGGTTACGGTAGTCGTTCTGCGTGTCTGTCTGTGTGCTACAGGCTACGAGGCGGCTTATGAGCGTCAGCGGTATATACATGGGCTAGAGAAAAATAAAATTGCGATTTTGCTGAAACGACTGCGTTCGAGAGCGACAAACTAGCACGGTCGCGGAGAGCGTTGCGTGGCCCAACCCATCAATAAAAAAAAGAGTTAATAAAGTGGAATGCAAATTACACAATGATAGTGAACAAAAAAAAAGGACCAAAAAAAACCAAAACAAAAACAAAAAAGGACACAAAAAAACCAAAAACACAAAGGTGAAAGATAACCAAACACGAAAACACCCCCGGCCGAAGGGGGGGATTCAGACCACACCATCTAGGAAAGGGGCAGGTGGCTGGCATCGATGGATCCAGGCGTGGCATTCCCTCCTCCATAGGGAGATGGCCACCTTTGAAAAAGCTGACGGACGATTCAAGGGGGGGACCCCAAAACGTTGGCCTATGAGACGGCCTATGCTGGACAAGGTCTCAGCAGTGGTGTCACTTAAACTGCCGAGGGATTCGATAGCGAGAGGGATGAAGGAAATGCCGGCTGCTTGGCATGAAGCACCATGGGTGGCAATTTCGTGCCTCCGCCACCTGCAGAGCGTGGCCTTGATCTCGGCAGCTGACTGGATAGTTGACTGTTGCCTTGTAGATATGACTGTGATGTCGAGTGCAGCAGGGCGCCCCTTTTCCAGCATGGTAGATAACGTCCGCAGGACGATTCTGGGTGCCCAGGATGAGGGAAGAACTTCCTTGCGAGGCGCGAGGGCGGACTGACTGGTGCCGCTGAGAACACTGCATCCTGCAGGGAGTTATGCCGAAAAAGTCTGTCGGCGTTTCCCCCACATCCCACGTGGTGATCACCAACTGGGTCTGCAACTAAGAGGCAGACAGGCACCTCCTGTCCTCCTCAAAGATCTGTAAGCCCAGCCAGTATTTAAGGCATAGGCGAAATTCACGTCCTGAGGTGGAGGCCTAAGGCGGACGATGGCACTACATTAGCCAATCACCGGCATGACGAATTGAGGTGAAAGGGCGAGCGCTTTATACGCAGGGATGAGTGGCAGAAGCCAATAGAGCATCCAGGGAGGCTGCATCAATAGCTCTAGCCGAGAGGGAATGTTGAAGGAGGGGGACGTCGATGTCTTGAATGGATCCCCAATCCGGACGTCCAGACCCGCTCTGGAAAGGGATTGGAGGGAGTTGGCAGGTGGCTAGGGGGCGGGGCAAACTTCCCTCCGATTTTTGCCACAAATGCTGGCATTGAGTGAAGAGAGCCGATGTAGGCAGCAGGAGCGTGAGTGAGAGAGGCAAGCCGAAGGTTCAGCCCTCCCGGGAGGATGGTAGGGAAGCCTTCAGCCACGACCAGTCGGGAATTGGACCCCCAGCGACGTCTGATAGAGCGCCTCTCATTAGATTGTCGAAGGAGCCTAGGGCTTTGGGGATAAGACTTGGAGGGCAGGTGCGGAGAACATGTGCGAGTTTAGGTATGGCCAGACAGGATCTGAGGAGGGTACACTCCGATTGAGAAGTCCTCAAGGTCTTAAGCCTAGCAACTATCTCTTGAACTTTATGGATTCGTCTAGAGACAGATCCCTCGCAAAAGGTAGAGGGGCCAATAGGGGACCCTAGCAGGGTGAAACCCTCTGAAGTGGTAGGGATATCGCGGAGTTGGGGGTGGGTGATGGAGGAGTTGGCAGGGGTGTAGATGAGCGACTTTCTCCTGTTTAGGAACAGTCCTCTGCTTCAATGATGGAAAGGGCCGTGGCAAGATCTCGCTCTGTGCCACAGAGAGTGCCGTCATCCAGGTACCATGCGTTCATTAGGAGGCTGGGGACCGACTCCTTGATATTTTTCAATAATGGGGTGGAGGACCAGAGCAAAGGCTAGGGGGCCAAGAGGATCTCCTTGTTGGACCCCGCAGCAGCTGAGGATAGGGAGATTGTCCATGCAGTGCGGTGTATTTTACGCGATCAACGCGGCTCACCTCGACCTGATCCGCTTGCTCTGTGTACCTTGGAGGCACATGAAGCCACAGTGAAGGGTGTGTATCAACTCCCGCATGCTATCTACTACCGTACCTTAGCGGGAGACCGCGAGTAAACGCCAATAGCCCAGCCCCATCCATTCAATCAATCAATCCAATAGGGCATGGCAGGTATATACATACATTAGCGGTATCGCGCATGCGCAGTTCGCCGAGGGTTTGCATTAGCACACAGGTTTACCTCCGCTTGCTCTGTGTATCTTGAAGGCACATGAAGTCACAACGAAGGCGTGTATCGACTTCCGCATGCTATCTACTGCTGTATCTAGCCCGGCCCGTGTCCGACTCTCCGCGAGCTACTTAGTGCGTGGGAGACAACCGCATACTACAAATAGCCGTAAATTAGCGGTACCGCGCATGCACAGTTCGCCGAGGGTTTGCACTTTAGTGCTTTGATTCTGTCTGTAGCTACATTTCTGTTTTTGTATAATTATACTCAACAAACGTAGCGCATCTATCGCTGTACGACCCGCGCATTCCATACAAACGTGCACCGGCCGGCGGTTTGCACTTCGTGCGTGAGCTCTACCCGTATTCAATAAAATGATACTGTAAAATCTGTGAATGCAGGAAAAATAAATTATTTCCCCATCTGTTATGTGGAGAAGCTATGAGGCACCACAGGAATGTGCTTTATCTTTACCCATTATTCACACCAAGTAGATACGTATAGCAGGTGGGTCATGCATGGACTATGCTGCATAGCTACATACGTAGATTGTGTTATACATGTGAACATGGCTACTACAGTGGGACTTGCATAAGGTGGCTGGATTATAGTAGTGGGAGTTCAGTAAGATGCTGTGTCAAGCTTTAGTGAGTGTCATGTGCTGCCACTTTATCGGACTCTACCGATTCATCGGCAACGACACACTCGCGCGTGAAGAAGCACGTCTAATTTACGTCCAGTGTGCGGTGAAGTATACGGAGGACGACACGTCGCTTTTTTTCGGCCCTTGTTTGCACTCGGTTTTTCTCAGTTTCTTTGCTCCTACGGGTGAGTTACCTCAAAACCGAGACTGGAAAAACCTGCATAAACTGATTATTCTCCTTATCTAGCCTAACTGACCAAAATGCCCCCGCAGAAGGAAGTCCTTCGCCATTCGGAAACGATCGCATTCTGCTCCTGCTGCTGTGCGTCTTCCACCGTCCAGGACTAGTAATCGAAAGCAGTGGACCGAAGAGAATATGCTGTTAGCTCTCAAGGCAGTCGAAAAAGGTGTGTCTGTCAGTAAAGCGGCACAGGATTTCGACGTACCTAGGAGTATCTACCTTATACGACCGCGTTAGCGGAGGAGTTGTCCACGGTGTAAAGCCAGGCCCCGAACCGTACCTCAGTCAGACAGAAAAGAAAGAGCTAGGTGGCTACCTAAAGCACTGTGCCAAAGTTGGGTATGGAAAAACGAGGAGGGATGTGCTCTGTATTGTCGAATCTGCTGTCAACGAGAGTGGTAAACTGCGGTCCGGCCATGTGTCTGATGGCTGGTGGAGACGATTCAAGGAGCATCAGGGTGACTTGTCGTTGCGGCAGGGGGACAGCACTGCTCACGTCCGGATGGACGCCATGAACCAGGAGACAATTGACCACTACTTTATGCTACTGCGCGAGACATTGACAACACATGGCCTTCTGAACAAGCCCTCGCAGATCTACAACGTAGACGAAACTGGTGTCCCTCTGGTGGTGCATCTTCCTCTGCCTCAACCTCTACACATTTGTCCACCAGTTCTCCCTCTCTTGCAACCAGCTCAAGTAAAAAGAAGGACAGTGCTCTGTCCAAGTTCTTAGTGGCACCAGCAGCTTCAACACCTTATGGACCAAAGAAAGTGCCGCCACGAGCACGTTTACTGACCAGCACTGGGGTGTTGGAGATGTTACAGGAGAAAGAGAAGAAAAAAGGAGGAGGCAGAGTTGAAAGAGCAGGAAAAAAAGGATAGGGAGGACAATAAACGAAAGAGAGAGGAAGAACGAAAACGAAAATCAGACGAACGAGCAAGAAGAGCGGTAGAAAAAGCCAAAGACAAGTCGAAAAAGGCGGCACAAAAGGCCCGCAAACAGAAAGAGAAAGTGCAAAACCCACCGAACACCACCAGTAATCATAACACATCCACAAGCAGCACTAGACGATCAAGCGAACAGCCACCAACTAAGAAGGCCCGAGTTGCAGATGAAGCCATTGACGACAGTCGGTGCTGTGTATGTTTCATAACATATGAAGATGACGTTCTGAACAAGACAGGAAAGGACTGGGTTGGCTGTGTTTGCGGCAGGTGGCTTCACGAGGAGTGTATGGAGGAGTCGTGTTTGGATAGCACTGGAAAAGAAAGGCTATGCCCATTGTGTATTGATTTATTTGCTGAATGACATGTTTTCCCACAAAATTTCATTGTTTTTACAACATACAATGTACATACTACGTTATCTGTAGTGCATAAAACGTACAGTGCCTTTCTATTTATTGCGCAGCACCTTTTACTGGTCGCCAAGTAGTGAGTATGGGAGAAATGTATTGGAAGCCGATAATACGTACAGCGTTCCGATAAACGGTATACTGAGGCGGTTGGAGACGGCGCTTAGCGCTTACAGTTTAGGGGCGCTTAGAATAGTTGGCGTTATTTAGAAACAAGTTATCGTTGTCTAGGAAAAAGAACCCGTTTGAAAGGAGGTTCTAGTGCTGCACAACACTATCAGGTACACTAGCCTGTCGATAATTGGCAGCGTACGCTTCCACTATGGAACAAAGTTGGCGAGGGAAGTCAAGCAAAGCCTATAATATTATTGTTTGCCTGCAGCTTGTTTCTGTCTAATCGCAGTGGCGTTGCTTTGATAGCACATGTCTAGACAGGCTACTATAACTACATAAGAGTTTTGTTGCTCAAGTTGCACCTACAAGGCCAAATTCAGTGAAAGCAGGTGTTTGGTATTATAGCTGATCATAAACATTTTAGTGGTGTTTTACCATGGAAGCCATGGTCATGCAGGTCTAATACAAAGGGCAGAAATTTCAACATTTACTTACGCTAACGGAACAAGTTACCCTTAAAATTCCGCATAGCTATATATAGCGCGTCGGGCAGACGGGACTTGGCGTGCAGTCAGAGCACCCGCCGCGCGAGTTTGACGACCTGCGCTTCAAGTCATCGCTTTGGATTCGTTTTCTCTGTAACTGCATTGTTATCACTCACAGGCAACTTGAGGATCACGGGATGGTGTCTAGGGCTGCTCCGTTCGTAACACTTTGTCTTCTCTTGTGGATTGCACACTGCCAATTGGGTAGCTAATAATGGTTGTGTTGTTGGATTTGACAATATAGTGTTTTATAAGAGAGCGATCTTGCAGCAATAGCGTACGCTGGACACGCTTTCGACGAGGGAGAGGTGAAGAGTGGGCTACTGCCACGCATGCGCACTCGGCTAAAAGCATTTCCGCACAGTGCGTGCGTCGGAGGAAACTCTTCCAAAAGATAGTGACTGTGCATAGGTTATGGTTGGCTTGATCTGCAGCTCGTAATATTTTGTAGGTAAGTCTGCTAGTAAGCCAATCTACACTTTACAATGGCATGGCCATAGAGTGAAATAAATAGTGTTCTTGGGCTTTAGTAGCTTGGTGTGTGGATAGGAATGGTAGCTATGTACTGAATACCAATGGTTATTTGGGTTCTTTGAACCTTGACCACCCAAGGCTAGACAGGAATGATTAAATGTCTGCTATACATGGTTATCTAGCCATGGCAGCAGTGGACCATGACCATCATTGTGTGCACTGGTTGGCCTCGCTCTCCCAGCTGTGACCGCCTCCCACTGTTTACGTAGCAGTGTGGTTCTGAGGATAGTTTGATACGGCAGCCAGCTATGGTTTAGATCCAGCCTTTGTCAGAGAGATATTGCAGCACCAGCTGCCAGCCTGTGTTCGGTGTCAGGTGGTCTGGTGCCTCCGCAGTTTGGTCCTCAGCTGTGCACACATGGGAATGCGGCTGATCTGGTTCAACTCCAGTGTCCGAGAAGCCTAAATGTACACAGACCAATTGCATTGCACCTCCTAGTCTTGCACAGTAATCAATCATGTGTTCCTATCATGCAGACATTGATACTCCATGTGACACGGCCATTGCGTTTTGTGTGTGATAATGCCGTGTGTAAGAGTCTGATGGCAGGTATTCTGCACATGCATCACGCTACAGTGGAAACTTGGTCAACCTATTATTGTTTATGGGAAGAGAGTTCGTTGTTTGATGTGGTGTACATACGCATTTTCAATGCAGATTTGAGTGAATGTAGTTGAGTTGTGCGACTGCATACTGCTCAGAAGATGCTGTGTTGCACTAACAACCCCTGGCAGTTACTTATGTACATGCAAGAAGGTACATGGCATGGGACTTCGTGTGATCTGGGGTAATACCTCTGGAATAGAGCCGTTTTAATATATTCTACACATAAGAATATTATGTTGTTGCATTCAATCATCCGTTTGACCTGCAGGATGCTCAGAGCCGATGAGTTGCCCCAAAACCTGTGATGGTGCTACTTGCCCTGGACTGGTGGAAGCTGAATGTGTGGTTGATTTTGGTGACTGCAGTGTGACATGGTTATTGGTGATGAAGATGTCACTGACCTATGCCAAGGTCAGTATACAGTGGAGAAAAGTGAAAACAGGGAAACAAGAAGATGCCTAATTGAAGACAGTCATCCATAACTCCATCCTACACCTTTGTTTCTCTTTGGTGTCAAATGAATGCATGAAGTATAATTGGCGACGGAGCGAGCAGTCGTTCTTTCGAGTGGAATTTTTCAGTATATTTATCGTCGTACGTCGTGTAAATGCGCATGCGCAGCTTTGTACGCGCTTCTTTTTATCCGAAACTATCTCCAAATTTTACACATTTTCACACATTGTGCCTCGCGATATGCGCTGATCGATCTAGCCAGCTAGAGAACTCTCCTCCATTCGACGGCATGCGCTGCAACCTTCGGTGACTGACCAAGGTTGTACCTCTTCCCAATCTTGATGGTTCCAAGGTGCAAGTTGCAAATACGCTAGGATTGCTCGTGCGCATACTGCTGCATGCCAGCTGCCTGGTGGACCACGACTGACGAGCTGAAAGCGTAAGGTAAGTACCGTTATGCTCACCTGCTCACTGTTCTGCCAATGTACAATACGCATGTAACGACGACAGGTAGATCTGTCTTGCTTCACGAAAGGAAAGCTGTGCGCTGACAGCACATTATGAAGCCCGAACATCGCGGGCAAATCCCAAGTTGGGTCGCTCCCACTCGCCAACAATGTTCAGCATTTCCACTAGTAGATATCCACACTACAAGTTGATATCTACAACTTGGAGAAAACAGGGATGTAAGGTGGGTTTATAACAGAGCATAAGTATGGCATAATTATAGTTTCTTGCAAGATATTATTATAATATAGAAAGGTCTCCAATAGTGTAGTGTGCAAGCAGTGGTGCACCTTGTTTCTTTCTTTTTTGTTGCGCTTTGAGCCATTCCAATATCCCATTTGGAATGTGTTTTGCACTCGTTATTGCCATATGATATTGTGTGGCATTATGAGTGCATTGGCTCACTCCTTCACCCTAGCAATAATTGTATTTTTCTACAGGATGTGAGGATGGAGAAGTCCGCTTAATAAAAATGATCGGTGTGAACGAAATGCTAGTTGAAATATGCTATAACTCCACCTGGGGATTGGTCTGTGATGACAAGTGGGGAGCAAATAGCAATAATTCCCAAGTTGTCTGTAAGCAACTTTGTTTCAAGAGTGGAGGTGAGTCAGTGTATAATTAGCAACCTTATAGTTACATGTCCTCTTAACCTTCTTAGAGAAAGGTAATATGTGTCCAACTGTGAGCGATGGGATATTCTGGTTGGATGAAGTGAATTGTACGGGAGACGAAGGGCGTTTGGATAACTGTGCACATAGTAACATTGGAGAACATGACTGCACCCTTGCTGAGGCTGTTACAGTTGTCTGTTCAAGTAAGCTTTGGAATACTGAATAAGCAAACTATGGATGAAAATTTTACTCACAGCTGTCACATGGTTGGTTTAAACAACAAGGAAAATTACTAGTGTGTGTATACCTCGTAATTGGGTATTATTCTTCCCCATGTTCATATCACACCTAAAGTGTATGTACCTCTTGGTTTTTCTGCCTTGTTGCGTGCGGTAGCAGAAAACGCGGTAACAGACTGACAGATGGACAAACAGACAGACAGACAGACAGACAGACAGACCATGAGACCAGCTGACCAAGTACTGTAACACTCACTGTACATGTGTGCCGAGGGTAGATAATCTGCATTAAAAGGATGTATATTTCGTTTTGTACCACAGCTTATGTCTGTCTTTGAAGGGACTAAATGTACACAAGATGGAAATTTTACTTGTGAATGCAATAGCAGCTACACTAAAGACGAAACTGGTTGCAAAGGTATCAGGGGTTTAATGATGGATTGTTTAATGATGTTCCTCATTTCAATACACAGATATTGATGAATGTGCCTATGAATATATCCAACTGTATGGAAAATTCCGTGTGTAAAAATACAGAAGGAAGTTTCTACTGCATGTGCAACCCTGGATACTTTTGTGGGGAAGATGGAAATTGTCCAGGTAACAAAGTCTTATGGCCATTCGTTGGTAGCTTGTTTCCTGTGCAGACATTGATGAGTGTGAATGTGGTACGCACGACTGTGATGAAAATGCTGACTGTACTAATATAGAAGGCAGTTACATGTGCACATGCATAAAAGGCTACATCGGCGATGGAAGAAATTGCACTGGTGAGCTTTGTTGTGAATTACTCATGTGCTTTCAAGTGTTGAAAGAACGAAAAATAATAATCCGCAAAATCTTTGCATGCACACTTAAGGTGCATCATAATCATTATAATTATGAGCTGAAGGAACAATTACGTAGGCTCGGTTTGCTATTATTAACCCTCGGCGCGCATGCAGCGAGGGTAACTGTAGTCGTTCTGTCTGTGTGTGTGTGTGTGTGTCAACGCTTATTCTGGCACTACAAGCTACGAGGCGGCCCATTAACGATACCAGCGGCTTCAGTACTACATGAGCCTGAAAACTAAAAGGGCGATTTTCCTGAAACGACTGCGTTCGAGAGATATGCCGTGAAAACAAGCGAAAAAGCCAATATGCATAATCGCGCTGGCTTACCTCGAACTGATCGGCCAACTCCGCGTACCTTGGAGGCACAAGAAGTTACAACAGAGGGCGTGTATCGACTCCCGCATGCAGTATACTAGTGTAGCTAGCCCGTGTAAGACTCTCCGCGAGCTACTTGCGGGAGACCACTGCTAGCCTAGACCCATCCCACCAATTAGTGATACCGCGCATGCATAATGCGCCGAGGGTTTGCACTTTAGTGCTTTTCATTATCTTAGTACACACTCACACATGAAAACGTGTTACTAAATTATTCACATCGAGGTTAAGTGACCGCGGCGCCATTTCCCCGCACAGCCCGTTCACGCAAAAACAAGTGTGTGTAAATTCTAAATCGAAGCAATGCCATAACACAAGGCCCTCGGGCTCTAACACATATCGACTTCAGTGCCTCATTGTCTAACTATTGTGTTATGTAATTTTTGGGCATTTCCTTTATTTTTTGGTGCTTCAGCCATCCCAATTCATTTACATTTCTTAGCTTGTAACGCAAGTACGGGAATTCGTCTTGTTCATGGTAATGAAACGTCTGGCCTGGTTGAAGTACTTCGCAATAATTGTGAATGGAGATCAGTATGTGATGATTTTTGGACCGATCATGATGCAAAAGTAGCCTGTGGACAACTGGGATTCTTGCCTTATGGTATGCATATTATTGCACCTGTATAATATCACTTGCTCTCATTGAAATGTATTTTCCACTGAAATTTGCTTGCTTTGTCAGACAGTATGCGTGTCTGCAAATTGAGCCCATCAAAGGCATTCTTGACAATATTGTATGACGTATGATTGTCGTCCAGCGTGCGCACGAACTTTGTGGCAGCGTGATCTTAACCAGTTTCTGGTTTCGTTTTTTGTAAATAGCGCCAGTCTTAATTATCTTTGAGAGATAGAAAGCTTGTATATTTAGCCGTGTGCAGCAGTCTGGCTGAGTACAAGTAAGCAGTAACCTGTTTTTAAGGAATGGAATGTAAGGAAATGGAATCTTGAGGCTCCTTGGTAGCTGCTTCTCTTATTTTTTGCTCATAGCGCTTGAACGTGTACTGTCTGTAGTAAACGCTGAGCAAAGTCAACATAATGTAAACACGATTCAGGACGTAATTTTCAAGTGATAGGCAGTTGTTGTGTGTGGTGGCAGAAAACGCGGTAACAGACATTTTGACAGAATGACTTTAGTATTACCATCACTGCACATAAGTGTGAGGGTTAAAAGGGAAAGTCAAATGGATATTATTCTTGATTTCTACTTATTCAGCTGCTGGATCATATCGTAGGGGAAGATTCGAAAATGATGAAGAAGTGCAATACTGGCTAGATGATGTACAGTGTACGGGTGATGAGTTGTCGTTGTTTGATTGTCAACATAAAGACACCCATAACTGTGGTAGGAGAGAAAGGGCTGGAGTCCACTGTCTGGGTATGTTGAATAAAGCAGCTGTTTTATTCTCTTGGTGTCCTAATTGCACACTAAACTGAAAATCTTTGGTGTTTCTGCACCAACTCTGCACGTCTAATAACACGTCCGCATCTATAGCTGATGCATGCCAAACAATGAAGGCACAGAGTTTTCACCTCACAGTATCAATGGTGATGGTGATGGTGTGATTTACATGACAATTGTACTTGAAAACCATTACAGATACGGATGATGTTGCAATACGGCTGATTGAAAACATAACTCTTTATTCTGGAATTATTGAACTAAGAATAAGAGATGAATGGAGATCAGTATGTCATGATAAATGGACTGACGAAAATGCTCAAGTGGCATGCAGATCAATGGGACTTCCGTTTACTGGTTAGCTCTGCAATTTTGTCTTGAATTTTTGGAGAGGGAGCGAGTAGCCCAACTTTTAGTAGAGACCGTGTGATTCAGAAGTCAAGTGTAATTAGGTGTACCGTCTCTTTTGCATGCACAAGTGTCTATATCAGTTCGTGCACAAGCATTATATGACCTAGACTTTTAGTATTGAGAGAAGAGTAAGTAAAACTCATGCCAATTGGTCACATGCTTAACAACCTTTTTAACAAGTGATAATTATTACAATCTCTGCACATTATGTTTTGTATTTACATGGCAACTACACGCAATGAGAGAGGGCTACTACATTCAGCCCCAGTGCATTCTAATTTTTTTGCAGGTGCTAAAAAAGAACTCAATGGAATGTTCGAGACAAATGAAGAAGTTAAATACTGGCTGTCTCAGGTGAATTGTCGAGGTGAAGAAGAGTCCTTGCTTGCCTGCCTACATAGTGGAATAGGAACACATAACTGTGGTAAAGACAGGAGAGCTAAAGTTATTTGCAAAGGTAAGGATATTATTATGCAAGTGGAAATTGCCTGTCAGGCACATATTAGGTAAACAATTGCCCATGGCTTCATTTTAAAAAGGTGATTTTCGTATAACTACTGTGTTCAAAAGTTATGGTGTCAAAAGCAAGTGAACAAGCCAATATGCAAATTAGCACAGGATTACCTTGACTGGGTCCGCTTGCAATTTGCATCTTGAAGGCACAAGAAGTCCACAACGAAGGGCATGTATCGACTCCCACATGCTATCTACTACTGTAGCTAGTCCGTGTTGGGCTCTATAGCGGGAGACCATGAGTAAACGCATACTAAAAGCGCAGCCCATCAGTTAGTGCAAGTGCCGAAACAACGACACCAAAATAATGAAAAGCACTAAAGTGCAAACCCTCGGCGAACTGTGCATGCGCGGTACCGCTAATTGATGGGCTGGGCTATTTGTAGTATGCGTTTACTCGTGTCTCCCGCTACTAGTAGCTCGTGGAGAACGGGCTAGCTACAGTAGTAGATAGCATGCGGAAGTCGATATACGCCCTTCGTTGTGACTTCATGTGCTTTCAAGATACACAGATCAAGCGGACCCGGTCGAGGTAGTGCTAATTAGCATATTGGCTTGTTCACTTGCTTTTCACGCCAGAACTTTAGAACGCAGTATTTTTACGAAAATCGCCATTTTTAAAATGAAGCCAGCGTAGCACTGAAACTGTTGGTGTCACTTTTTTTGGCCGGTTTGTTGCATGTGGTGGCAGAAAACGTGGTAACAGACACACACACAGACAGACAGACACACAGACCGACTACTATAACCCTCGAGCGCATGCGCGCCGAGGGTTAATAATCCGTTTGTTGGTATTATGCATTTTTTCCCTGTGCAGACATTGATGAGTGTGAATGTGGTTTGGACGACTGTGATGAAAATGCTAACTGTACTAATACAGAAGGCAGTTACATATGCACATGCAGAGAAGGCTACTGTGGCAATGGAAGAAATTGCACTGGTGAACTTTGTTGTGAATTACTCAAATTCTCATGAGATTATGTGCTTTCAAGTGCCGAAAGAACGACACCAAAATAATAATCCGTTTGTTGGTATTATGCATTTATTCCTGTGCAGACATTGATGAGTGTGAACTTGGTTTGGACGACTGTGATGAAAATGTTAACTGTACTAATACAGAAGGCAGTTACATATGCACATGCAGAGAAGGCTACTGTGGGGATGGAAGAAATTGCACTGGTGAGCTTCTAAGGGCCTTTCACTTAGTGTCTTCACTTGGAACGCCATAACGCAAGGGCCTCGAGCTCTAGCACGTATCGACTTCGCGACCTCAATTTCTAACTACAGTGGGTCCCACTTAATATCATACAGTGTAATAGAATATCCCATTTATAATCATACAAACTTGAAATCCAAAACCATTTCCTATAAATGTGGATAATGTCATATCCCGCCTATTACCATAGAAAAAATAATTGAGCAATTTTGGTTTTTGCCCGCATATTGTCATTATTGCCTAATTAGGCATTCAACCTTGGGCTGGAGTTTCGAAACTGTCCATTCTCCACCTGGCTTCCATTAGCTTATGTAAACAGCTTCATTAGCTTAGCTAAACAAACTGCATTGTGCGCTATCTAGTTCACAATATACATTGCTATACACAGTATACACACCCGAGTATATATAGGTTACACTATGCCCACGAGACGGTTTAGTGGACATTCACTACGAGTGCGCAGCACGAGTAGTGTATGCACTAAACCGTCGAGTGGGTGTAGTGTAACCGGTTTGTACCACAGGAATGCGCACTAAGACAACTTATTAGTATGCATGCCATGGTGTATGGTGTGCTGACTCAGCCATACACCCCACATGTGAGTGTATGGCTGAGTCAGCACACCATGGCATGCAACTGATGAGTTGTCTTCGTGCGCATACACTGCGTGCGGTGCCTTTGATTTATAGGGCTTCTGTGGTACAAACACAGTATACGCACCCGCGTTATATATAGAATATCCCGCATATTGTCATGCACCGCGGGTATGATTAACCGGGACCCACTGTATTGTGTATGTATTTTTTGGCCTTTATTAACCCTCGGAGTGCATGCGCAGCGAGGGTTACAGTACTTGGTTTGTAAGTGTGTCAGTCCGGTTCTCCGGTTACCACGTTTTCTGCCACCACACGCAAGAAATCGGCCAAAGAGCGATAGTAACGGGTTCAGTGCTACGCTGGCTTGATTTTAAAAAAGGTGATTTTCATAAAAAATACTGCATTTGAAAGTTATTGCGTGAAAACCAAGTGAACAAGCCAATTGCTAATTAGCAGAGGCCTACCTCGACTGGGTCCGCTTGCTCTGTGTATCTTGAAGGCGCAAGAAGTCACAACGAAGGGCGTGTATCGACTCCTGCAAGCTATCTACTACTGTAGCTAGCCCGTGTCAGACTCTCTGCGAGCTACGTATTAACGAGACTACGAGTAAACGCTAGCCAAGCCCATGCCCATCAATTAGGGGTACCACGCCTGCGCAGTTCGCCGAGGGTTTGCACTTCAGTGCCTTTGTGCTTGAGCCATCCATTTTCATTTGATATTTTTTACATTTCTTAGTTTCAGACACAAGTATGGGTATTCGTCTTGTTGATGGTAATGAAACGTCTGGCCTGGTTGAGGTACTTCGCAATTGTGAATGGAGATCAGTATGTGATGATTATTGGACCGATCATGATGCAAAGGTAGCCTGTGGACAACTGGGATTCTTGCCTTATGGTATGCTTGGCATGTATATTATTGCACCTGTATAATAATCACTTGAGCTCTCAGATTCAACATGTAATCACTAAGTACGGTAGTACCAGGTCATCCTGCATTATGCCCATACATTTGAGATTTTCATGTTCCACTTTTTCAGTTTCAATCAGGTCCAACATTAGACTGATCCGTATCGTCACAAAGAGCATGTATCCAAGAAATGGCTTAAATCCCATAATCGGTACTTGATTTATTCAAGAAAGTTAGTTTTCAAAATTCTTCTTCTTGTTGTTCAGTTTAAACACAGGGATCTCACAAACCACTTAAGATATAGAGATGAAACTTTGCACAAAGATTGGAATCCATGACAGGTCGTGCAAGAGCATTTTTATTTCTTCATAAACAATTATGTTTACATGTAAACAACAAATAACAACAAAAATAGCCCCAGGCAATACATTATGATAGAGACAAATAAACTGTGCTAAAAGCTAATACCCAGAGTGATAAAACTTTGTACACATATACAACCCATCATTAGTAACAAAATGTAAACATTACAAGTTTATAAACAACAACAAACAGCCTCAGGCAATTAAAACTTGTAAAATGTATTTGTGCTTATAACTTGCTTATAATGGGTCCTATAACAATGAAACTTGGTACACTGATGTACCATGATGAGAGTTCATCGAAACGGAAACTACAAGTTTGTAAACAACAACAAACAGCCTCAGTGTAAAATTTCCTCCACACAAGCCCTATATTGTCGCCACCTTTACTGTTTGTTTAGTGAAGCGCGAGGACAATGGTGAAAGGATTCTGTATGTAGATGGCCAAGAACGCAGCATTGTAAAACTGGTTAGTTTAGCAAATGTAGAAGTCATAGACTTCACACAATGCAGTCACAACTAAAAACCGAGTAGATGGTATTATCTGTCTAATGTGCTTATTCATAGATGTGCATCATACAAGGGAGCACACTCGTACTTCGCGACAATATAGGGCTTGCGTGGAGGAAATTTTACACGAGCAAGCGATGTCAGTTCAAAGTATGTAGTCATCATCCATTGTACTACTGCATCATGTTCACTATATAGGTCATCCCTGTCTTGTCTCCTTACTTTTTATGGCATCCCTATATTCCACACTTCTTTAATTCGGAGAATTTTTTATTTACTTGTACAAATGTATTTTCCACTGAAATTTGCTTGCTTTGTCAGTATGCGTGTCTGCAAATTGAGCCCATCAAAGGCATTCTTGACAATATTGTATGACGTATGATTGTCGTCCAGCGTGCGCACAAACTTTGTGGCAGCGTGATCTTAACCAGTTTCTGCTTTCGTTTTTTTGTGAATAGCGCCAGTCTTAATTATCTTTGAGAGCTAGAAAGCTTGTATATTTAGCCGTGTGTAGCAGTCTGGCTGAGTACAAGTAAGCAGTAAAGGAACAGGAATGTAAGGAAATGGAATCTTGAGACCCCTTGGTAGCTGGCTTCACTTATTTTGCTCGTAGCGCTTGAACCGTCTAATAGAGTCTACTGTCTGTAGTAAACACTGCATGATCAAAGTCAACATAACGTAAACATGATTCAGGACGTAATTTTCAAGTGATAGGCAGTTGTTGTGTGTGGTGGCAGAAAATGCGGTAACAGATATTTTGATGGAATGACTTTAGTATTACCATCACTGCACATAAGTGCGAGGGTTAAAAGGGAAAGTCAAATGGATATTATTCAGGATTTCTATTTTATTCAGCTGCTGGATCATATCGTAGGGGAAAATTTGAAAATGATGAAGAAGTGCAATACTGGCTAGATGATGTACTGTGTACGGGTAACGAGGTGTCGTTGTTTGATTGTCCACATAAAGACACCCATAACTGTGGTTGGAGAGAAAGGGCCGGAGTCCACTGTCTGGGTATGTTGAATAAAGCGGCTGGTTTATTCTCTTGGTGTCCTAATTGCACACTAAACTGAAAATATTTGGTGCTTCTGCACCAACTCTGCTCTTAAACAAGACCGGCGTCTAATAAGATGTCCGCATCTATATGCCAAACAATGAAGGCACAGAGTTTTTGCCTCACAGTATATCAATGGTGATGGTGATTGTGTGATTTACATGACAATTGTACTTGCAAACCAATACAGGTAAGGATGATGTTGAAATAGGGCTGGTTGAAAACACAACTCTTTATTCTGGAATTATTGACTTAAAGATTAGAAATGAATCGAGATCAGTATGTCATGATCAATGGACTGACGAAGATGCTCAAGTGGCATGCAGATCAATGGGACTTCCGTTTACTGGTAAGCTCTGCAATCTTGTCTTGAATATTTGCAAAGGAACGAGTAGCCCAACATTTAGTAGAGACCGTGTGATTCATAAGTCAAGTGTAATTAAGTGTAGGGTCTCCTTTTGCATACACAAGTGCCTGTCAATATGGAGTTCATGCACGAGCATTAATGACCTAGAGTTTTTGTATTGAGAGAGAAGAGTAAACTCATGCCAGTTCGTCACATGCTCAACAACCTTTTTAGCAAGTGATAATTATTTTACCGCGAACACAGCTACAACAAATGCAGACAATCTCTGCACATTTTGTTTTGTATTTACACGGCAACTACACATTTATGGCAATGAGAGAGGGCTACTACATTCTGCCCCATTTGCAGGTGCTGAAAAAGAAATCAATGGAAGGTTTGAGCCAGATGAAGAAGTTACATACTGGCTATCTCAGGTGAGTTGTCGGGGTGACGAAGAGTCCTTGCTTGCCTGCAGGCATAGTGGAGTAGGAAACCATGACTGTGGTAAAGACGAGAGAGCGAAAGTTATTTGCAAAGGTAAGGATATTATTAACCCTCGGCGCGCGTGCGCAGCGATGGTTACTGTACTTGGTCTGTGTGTATGCGTGTCTGTTCACAATTTCTGCCACTAGACGCAACAAGATCGCCAAAACTCTACAGCAACGGGTTCGGCGCTACATTTGCTTCATTTTAAAACTGGTAATTTTCATAAAAACACAGCGTTAAAAAGTTATGGCGTGAAAAGCAAGTGAACAAGCCAATATGCAAATTAGCACAGGCTTACCTCGACAAGAAGTGCTTGATCTGCGTACCTTGGAAGTCACAGCCCAACTTGCAACAAATCTCACTGGTGGAACACTGTCAATGAAAAGTCCCAGGCCTGCAAGTCGCGCAGCCATTACATGCCTGCTGAGCTTGCAGTAAAATGACAGTGTCCACCATAGACAATCTGAATACTTTATGACCATGCACACCTCTGTTGACTTTAAAATACAGCGTTCACATTGTTCCGAGTTAACTGAAGAATGTAATATATATGAGCAGAGAACACGTGGACCTTTAGACATTTTTGGACCTACAGGTCTTCGCCAGTGTTAGAGACTCTTTGTATGCAGATCATGTGAGATTTGATCCGTGGCATCCCTATACTGTCACTCTAATAAGATATCTGCACATGCTTTTTTTTGTATAAACACACCTTCCGCTTTCTCTGTTCTCCTCAGATATTGAAGATCGCAAACGCAG